ATCTAGATCTAGTAGCTTCTTATATAAGTCACAGCTCATCGAATTCTCCTTTTAGAAACACGTCGCTTTTTTTTGTATATAATTAATTTGTTTTTATGTTTGGAGCTAAAAACGACGTTTCGGGACAGTGCATGTCCAATTTTAGATAAGTTCCTGTATTTTTGTTCCGCTTTTCCAAAGCAGATGGCAGTTTTTTAGATTTTCGGTAACCAAGTATGTGAAGCTATTGTTTTAACCTCCCCCGGCAATTCATACCCATATAAGGGATGAAGGCTATATTATTAGCCTGTTTGATCGTAGGCTGGTGGATATATCAAAATAAGCTTCCAAACATTTTTAGAAAGACATTCATACTGTTAGCTGTTAAATAAAATTAAAAAAGGAGGTGTTTCAACGATAATAATGAATTTAACACATTTTATAGTGCACAAGGCAAAATCGTAATAAGAAATATTATTGGGATTAATAAATCTATGATTTTTTCAATTAATAAACTTGACCTACATCGAGATATCTAGAATATATAATTTATGAATGAAAGAAAAAGTGTGGGCTGTTAATTTGAAGCCAGAGACCATGCCCACTACAGGTGATCACGCCAGGCGAGCGCTGGTGGTGAGGAGAGGTATACACTAAACGTGTAGTGTCACAACCTATCATACAGGCAGTGGAGGGAAAGGGGGAGGGGGGAGAGTCATGAAAAGAATTCTAAGCATCTATGGGAGGGAGGGGATGTTAAGGTGTAACAAAACGAACATCCAAATTATGAAAAGAAGAGGGTCCTTGGATGGGAATTAAAAGAAAGAGACAGAGAATAGGCCTACATGTAGCCTAGTTGAAAATATCATGTTTATTAAATTATAATAATTAATTTATAGATCTATAATTTATATAGATTTATTTCTGTCTGTTTCTACACATAGATTACATAGGTAGGCATATATAAATAAATAAACTATAAACGATGTATATATATATAGAGAGAGAGAGGGAGAGAGAGAGAGAAAAAAAAAAGAGAGAGTGAGACAAAGAGACAGGGAGAGAGAAGCAATATACTATAAATACATATTGCAGAAGTGAATCTACTTCTTTTAATACAATCTAAATAATTTTTAATTAACACAGATATAATTTATTAGCAATAACATAGTGGTGTTTCTTAACGGTGCTCAATGTGCGCTAAAGGAGAAAGCACAAAAACTGCGTTTATTATAGGAGCATGATGTGACCCAATTTATTTTAAAATAAAATCTTGACTATGAGTGGTAATTCAAAGAAACACAGCTATTTTTATAGTCCTTTAGTTGCAGAATAAGAATCTGCTTTCAGTTTTTTTGTAAGTTAAACCGTCACCAAATAAAAAAAATATAATAAAAATTTGACCTAGTTCCCGAATACGGTGTGCCTAATATAAGAATCTACTATATATAGATTATCTTCAAAATCCATTTTAAAAGTTTTCAAGAGTCAAACAAATAATACTCTTTCAAATTGATACAGACACAGGTATAGGTCTAATAGCCTAAAGGTAATGTCTTCAGTCTTCGGTTCCAAAGATTAGGGATGAGAGCAGTGTTTCCTTTCTTCTTATCTTATAAAATACAGACATAAGTTCAAAAAAGAAGATTACTGTTCCTAGGTCAATCTAGTCATGCATGTTAACCAATGACTTAAATTCTACCAAGTCATTGTGTTACGGTCATAGCGCAGCACGGTGTGCCTGAATAATGGTGCGAATTTGTGTAAGGAATGGAAGGGGAAGCCGGGAGAAATGGACAGGAGGAGAAATGAAATGATCATGTTTACATAACTTGTTGTAATATTAAAGTATTTATAGTAAAACCTGAGAGTGTATTATTATTTTGAAGAGTCTTGTGTCGTAACACATTGGTTTTCCTAGCTGGCTCAGGCAACCCATTCCATGCTCTAATAGACTAATAGCACCAGGGAAGAAGGAGCATTTGTATAAATGTTTTATGTATTTGCTACTTTACTTAAGGTGTTACCGTGTTACTCTAATCAAAAGTTTGTTATGATTTTGTTATGAGTCTCACTGCTCATTTTGTGTCTGTTTCAGTTTCTTGATGTCTTCTTGAGTTGAGGGGTCACAAACAGACGACGTATATTCTATTATTAGCACAACCAAGGTTAAATGACATTTTAGTTTTATGTTCTTATTTGATTTGTAGAAATTTCTTTTACACGTGACATGATTAAGCAAACCCAGTTGCGACATACATATTTTTCTACATTTGATGCAGACAATGTCGTTGTCCGCCGGGGGTCTATCTAAGTTTAACGTCTTCTGCGCCTGTCTTCTTCAAGGGCTCTCCTCTGGGGCCTCAAATGTGTGTCCCGCGGCCTTCGTGAGAGCTCTCCAACTGTCTCTTTCAGAGTCCTGCCAGATACTTTAGGTCTAATATAATACTAATAACAATAATTAGTTATGATTATTTTACTCATTTAAAAGAAAAAAAGGATTTAGAATCTGTAGCCAGGGGGGGGGGGTTCACCCCCCCCACCCCCGAAACGAAATCCCCGACAGGGGGGTCGGAGTTTAGTGACTGATCTTTTTCTTTAATTTTGTTTATCTTAGGTAAAAATTTAATACTAAACCATCACTTGCCCATGCACAGCCAAGGGGGTTTTGAGTTTGAAACCCCCTACAAGGTTTTTTTTAGTTTGAACTCCCCTACCAGGGCGTTTTGAGTTTGAAAACCCCTACCATAAGGATTAAATTTTAAAACCCCCTACCAGGGGTTTTGAGTTTAAAACCCCATACCAGGGGTTTGTGAGTTTAAAAACCCCTACCAGGGGGTTTCAAGTTTAAAACTTCCTACCAAGGGATTTTAAGTTTAAAACTTCCTACCAGGGGTTTTGAGTTTGAAACCCACTACCATGGGGTTTTGCATTTAAATCACCCTCTTCTATAAAACAAACAAAAAATGCAAACGACAATCCCAAATTCCAAGAGCACATCTAAGGAAGATTTTGGTTTTAATCCCCTCTCCGAAATTTACGATAAACCCCTTTTCAATATAAAAAAGCAAATTACACATTCAAAATTATATGAGCGTAGCCAAAGGGGTTTTGAGTCTAAACCCCTCTTCAGCTGGGTTTGAAGGTAAAAAATAAATCTTCAAAATAAAAAAAAATAAAAAATTTCGCAATCAAAATACTATGAGCGTAGCCAAGCCTATTGGGTGTTTTGAGTTTAAATTTCTCTTCAGAGGGGTTTGATGTAAAAAAAACAACAACCTCGTCAATATAAAAAAAAAGCAAATTACACACTAAAATTCTTTGAGCGTAGCCAAGCCAGTTTCAACCCCTCTCCTCCAGATGACATTTTTAAAAGTTTAAAACCCCTCAAGATAGTTTTGAGTTTAAAATCCCCTTACAGAGCGTTTTAAGGTTGAAAGCCTCTCTCTTCAATATTATTTCTAAAGCAAACTACTGTCACCAAATTCTATGACCGTAGCTAAATGTGGTTTTGAATTAAAAAAACAAAACAACTTCAGATATATTTTAGTTTAAAACCCCCCAACAGATGATTTTGAGGATAAAACTTTTCGATATAACATCTAAAGCAAAATAGTCACCTAATTCCAAGATCGTAGTCAAGAGAAGTTTCACATGTCTACCAGTAGCTGGGCTCCATTAATAAAGTGCAATGAATAGTCATCTGCCGAAATTGAACAGTACTAAATGTGGCTCTACAAAGATGGCTAAGACGGATTTTAGGAGTCAGTTATAGAGATCGGGTATAAATCAAGGAAATCCTATGCCGAAGTGGATGTCGACCCCTTAGTACGGTTGTGACAGAGCGTCACATGAGGTTTGCGGGATATGTTCTCCGACAAAATGAATTACGCATAATAAGAGTTGCGATGACATCCTAGTACAACTTGGCGCCACACTTTCATGGAGGTCCTCAGAGCAGGTGGTAAGACGCTTCAGATATTGCCAGTGACAGATTATTGTGGAAACAGCTTGCCAGCAAATGCGCCGAACGGCGCTGGGGGGTCTAAGTCAGTAAAGATAGCACATTAGGTTTTTGAAATAAAACTTTTTAATAGCAAAATAATGCACTGTAGGTACCTCAAAATATGCATTTAGTTGGCTTTCAATACCAGAAATAGTGCTAGTCGGCGGGGCTCCTCCCCGAGCTAAGGGAGCTCTCAGCGCTCCCCCAGACCCCTTGATGGCAAAGGCGAGGAGTCTACAATTTTTTCAGCAACTCCACGAAGAACCTATTCAAGGGCACAATAAGCGTCTTCCAAAAGAATGAAGGGTCAGAATGTAATAGAGATTAATTATGTGCACACACACATTCATCCATACAAACATATATATTTTTTTTGCGGCAGCAGATTTCAAAATACCTCGACTTCCTTTACTCCGAACGTGGTGAGTAGGTTCTTACAAGTTAAACCGAGGAACTCTAGTGTTTTTGAAAGGAAGGCCTACGCAAGGACTGAATTGACCCTATAGTGGATGATAAGCAAGGCTACTGGCTAGCGTCAGCTGTTTTGATAACAAATTCATCTCAACAAGGATTTGTAGGACGGCGAGCAGGCTTCGAACCCGGAACTACCAAGACGACAGTCCAGAGAGCGTACCACACGAATATAGGTTACGCTAAATAATATCATCTACACTACCCTGAAACGAAAGGTCTTGGGCGGCAGTCCAAACTGACTACCTCCTAAGCCGACCCTGTATCTGTACTTTACAAGATGTTTCTACTACTATGCTTAGGCTATGTATTGAACGTACGTACACTAGCATTAAATAAAGATCTAATGGAAAAAAATGTCTCGAAATAAATACAAAATGTGCTGCAAAGAACTTCACTGCCCTTTGTCGTGGTAATTGTATAAAGTCACGTGTTTGTCTTTGTGAAAAGTGAATGGACTAGCTCAATTAAGGTAATGTAGACGTTCTCACAGGTCGGTGGCTAGCACGAATGTAAAATTAAGTAATAAAAGTAAGAAATGAATTTTGTTTTTTGGTTGTTCTTTTAGGCTTTATTTGAAAGAGAACAAAAATAAATCTGGATACATGCACAATTGAAGAATTACCTGACTAATTAGCTAATACATAAATCCACTTTAAAAAAATATATCTAGGTGAATGCTAATTTAATTACAGTGTTTGATATTAGAATCTAATTTTTTTTTTACCATTAAAAAAAAAAAAACACATGAAGGATGCATTTGAAATAAGTTGTACCACAAAAATGTTGACTTAACCACAAAACAGTTTTGAGGTGATGCAAGTGTGTTCCATTACATAAGCACAATCAAATGACACACTTTAGAGCATTTAAAACACTTCTGATCAATAGTTACATTAAAAACCCAACAATTCACATGCTTATCATTTAATGAAAAACCCTACTGACATCTTTGAATTCTAACATTGGACAAAGCAGTCTAATTTGGTGTATGTGAAACACATGGAATAGAATCAAAAGAAAACTAAGCAACATTTATGACTTTATACGAAAACATTGTTTTGTTTGTTTTAAACAAAAGCAAATTTTTTTGTTCCAGTTACTTTAGATTCCAGTTAATTGGACTAAATTGGCACATAATGCTTTTGATCCGAATAACTGGCTTGTCAGGTTATATGAACATTTTCTGTATTACAAGAATGTTCCCTCCTAAATATGCAGTTGGTCCAATTAGTTAGTGCACTCAAATTATCCATATTTCTTTTTGCAAAAACATATTAATTATTAATTAGCTTTAAAATGAATCTTCACTGATTTAATCAAAATCTTTTGTTTTAAATTGAACATTATCTTTTAATGTACAAAAAAAAAAAAAAATAAATAAATAATTATCACATGTCAAACAATTAAAAAAAACAACATATATATGTGGAACTCAAAAGAATAATTCAGATGAAGCTTGATTCTTTTAAATCTCCTTTAACTTAAAGGGACCAACATATCAGACCTTAAATAAAATACTTGTTTCTGGAATAGAAGTTAGATTTACAGAAACTTAATAATAATGCATAACAAAAAAGGGCATTAAATGGAATTCTGGAAATGAAGATTTACATTAATTTATACTCAATGACTTGAATACTTGTATACTCATTTGTATTTTAAATTGTGTATTGATCCACATTGATCCGTACAAGCATCCCTTACTGCACATAAAACAAATGAAATGAGGGGAAACATTTCCTGAAGCTTATTCTTAATTCTAAAACAATGATAAATTATAGAGGCTGGAATAGGTTTACATGACACAAACTTTAATAAAAATAAATTGATTTAAAAAAGATAAATGTAAACTTTGCCTTTTAACGAAACTGAATTTCTATACGAATTTCCTTGTCAAATTTTAGGAGACATTTTTGGACAAAATCTTGTATTTGTATGAAAATAAATTCCTATTAGGTTTAAATAAATAGATATGAAACATACACATTTCCTGATAATGTATATGCAATATCTTATTAACCAAAAGAAGTTCAAGCAAGAAGTGAGTTATGATGAACTAAACTATGTTTTGCACATTACCAAATAATTGGATATATGTTTGATACTGACCCAATGCAGCTAAAACATAGTTCTGAAATCCAAAGATTGTTTCAATATAATTTAGTAACCATTATTAAAGGTACATACAATTTCACATAAAACTACAATGTGACTGATGCATTATTTACACACACTTTTCTGATAAGTAATGCATGATTAAAAATAACAATGTCAATCATTTTTTTTTTGCTTCCATGAACCAAAAGGATGAACAACTTAACTGCTGACTTGATGTAATAAAAAAGAAAGAAATAGAAGTTATACAAAATGAGCTGTAGAGACATGTTTATGACAATGTACATTAAGGAAATAAAATTAGAAAGACACTAATCATGTATATGTCTGTAAATGTAAAGTATGATTTGTTCAATAAAACATGCACCACAAGTTTTGTGTTCATTTATTCCATAACATTTTTTAAGCATGAATTGAATGAATGCTGAATTCAATATTTCTTTAATGAAACTAAGAAAAAAAAAAGACTGCTTTTGGCATGACATTCTGGGATACTAATAAAATGTATAAATATGTATGAACAAAAGAACAGTGTGTTGTATGTACCAAACCACACAAGCACCCCACAAAGACTATACCCAACACAAACTTTCTTCCTCTTCACCTAGCCAGCTTTTTGCAATCTGCGCCAAGGAAACAACAAACTAAAAAAAAAAAATGTATTTTTTCAGACAAAAAAAAAAGATTACAATGTTTCTTTTAACCTTAATACTTAAAAATTCTTTCTTAAAATAATATTTTTTACACTTTTAATACATATACACATCTCTAATTTTTCAGTTCATTATATAGATTTGAACTGTTCTATTTCTATTTATGTAAAAATGTCTTCTTATTAAGAAGTAGTTCTTGTACACATTTGATCTATAATATGGAAATACAATTTTATCTGCATGTCTTTTTTTGATTAATTTAGTGTTTTAAATGTTATCGTTATGCAACTTTTTCTCTGACCAAGAGTGTTGGTGTCAAGTGAATTTCATTAGTGAAAAATGTTAAGAGCTCTTGCTTGCTTTTACTGATAATAATAATAATAATAATAATAATAATAATAATAATCTTTATTGTCCGTATGGATGTGATACAAACTCATTTAGAAATGTTTCATATAGTATATTTGTTGCATTTAGTTTCATTATAAAGCAGTACAAACAATAAAACACTTAGTAACAACCAATGAATTAAACATTGAATAAAACATAGTATAAACAACCCAAAGCAAATTTAAATGTAGACATTAATGTAATATTGAACTGAAGCATCACCTATTCAGTATGACATCCCTAAAAAACAACAACATCTGTTGTGAATTCTAAAATGTTAAAACATTTAAAAAGTTGTATACACAAGCATGTAAATTAAGATCCACACACAGCTTGCTAAGCTATGGAGAAACACTAAAGTTCATACTGATAAAAATAGATATTTATACTGTGTCAAAACCAGTATATGACAAATATCATGGAAAGTTAAAGATTTCTTGGTTGCCATGCCAAAGGGGTAAGGTCAAATTGCTGGTTGAGTTTCATTTTTTGTGGTACCTTGAGGTTTCACAGAGGTAATTATGCAAAGCAGCCAAATTTAACACTTTTAAACACATTTAGACTTGCAGGACAATGAAAGAAAATGCAGAGGTTTTGTGTTAAATTGAAAAAAAAAGAATGAAAATTTATACAGAATACCGATGTAAAATTTCGTCCACAATTTTCAAAACCTGGCATGTTGGAAAAACAACAACAACCTGGCCCACAGAACACATAAATTGTGCCAACAATAGGATTTGTATAGAGTAATCTAGCTGGAACCACCTTTTTCATTTTCATTATACTCACCTTCCAGCAGATTCAAAAGAAAATAATCACAGTGATAGAAAATATGAGACAAATATTCAACTGAAGGATTTATAGCATCATGGTGAAAGTATAGAGCACAACAAACAGGACTATTGTCATCTCACTTAATTGTAATTTTCTAAACAGAATGACTGCAGCATAAAATAAAGGCCACGGAATAAAATCAATATAGTTTCAGAAAGATAATTTCATATGTTATTGTAGTTATCTTATATTCATTCCCACCATACAGTTATAGTTAGCAATTAAGTATAGAGGAGAAGTATCTTTTATATTTATCCATAAATAATAGAAGTAAATTTCAAAAGAATTGATGAAAAAGCTACTAAGAATGTAAGACCTTGATTCTTTAATCTGGCTTTGCTTAAATCATTTAATCTTTACCATGAATCCTCCAAATTCAAAAATTATTATTGCTAAATACAACATATACAGTTTGACATTAAGCTCTAAATATTAAGATTTAAGCATAATGATTATTTAAGTGTAACAACAGTCAGGCTTTGAAACAGGCCTTGCACAACTAATGAGGATCAGATTTTTAAATATACAGCTTATATTATACTGTTTTTTTTTGCATCCTTTATTTTCACTTAAATCTCCCAAAATAAAAATAAAAAATTGGTTGTTTTGGTAATACTTAACACTATGATCCAACCATACTAACCTCAGACTTATTTTTTTGCACAATGTTCAGATGATTAAAAATACATTTTCTTTTGAATGCCTAAAAAAACAACAACTTACTACATATTATTAAAAGAGCTTGTTAAATTAATGCATGAATGGAATTCTGTGTCAACAACCATTAAGACAACAAGACACAATGTTCTAGTAACAGATTCAGCAGTACAAAACATTTTCCAGCAGTACTCAAAACAACATTAATAGTAACATACATTGTATAAAATATATTCAAAATATATATTGAAATAATAAAACACACTGGAACTCTACATTTCATTATTACAGTCAGCAGTTTGAATAATATACTTTATAAATATATATAGTTTTTTATATAAAAGATGTGAAAAGGTCAGGAATGCATAGCAAGCATCAGCTGTGACAAGCAAGTATAGTGAACTGGATGGAATGATTGTTAAGGCTAAGTCAGGAATAATCAGAGCAATGGTTTTCTTTTCATGGAACTGAGGTGTGCTTACATAAAGTGATTAGTGAATTCAGTCGACACTAAACAAAGTTCTAAACACAATTTAACACTAAACGCACACAAAAAGTGCCGATGTAGTACCAATATGGCAAACAGTGGCTTAGGAATACTGCAAAGACTACACAAATAAACTGAAATTGATTCACAGATAATTTACAAAATAACACTGTATAATACATTTTTAGACAAAAACAAAACTATCAAATTAGGTTTTGGGTAAAAATCAATCAAATGAATATCACTAAGAAAAATAATACCAAAATATTTACAGGAACATCCTATATATATAAGATATATATATCATATTAGGAACATGAATGAAAGTAACAACTTTTGAACAAGTACAAATATTGTACAAAAATTATCAATAGCCAAACCAAAATATCAGCAGTACAAAATTACTGAGGAGAAGATTTAAAAAAATAATGTTTTATATTCGTTTGCATATTGCTATAGTTTTAATTTTAGCTATTTACTTGTTTCTGTTTCACTTGCACACGCATTATGGCACACTGTTTATTTCTTTTAATTATAAACAAAGCAGTCTGGGGACAGTATAATATTTGATATATTTTACCATTAATTATTATCTAAAATCAAAATATGTAAATATTTGTTTACTTCTTAAAAATTTACACAAGAAATAAAAATTATGAGGGCCAATATGAGTCCCTATCATAAAGTTGAATCAGCAGTAGAAATCTTACAATAACAGAGTGAAAAGGACAAACATGAGTCCAAATCAAAGAGTTGAATCAGCAGTAGAAATCTTACAATACCAGTGTGAAAAGGAAAAACAAAATGCTAAATCAAAGAGTTGAATCAGCAGTAAAAAAAAAAGAACTGTGTACATCAGCAGTGTAAGATTAAAAAAAAAAGAGCAATCAGGTGAAACAAAAAATTTATCAGCAGTACAAATCATTTGCATAGAGCCATAGGTAAATAAAAAAGTTAAAAAACAAACATCTATTTGGATAAAGATTTGTTATAGTTGCTATAACAGTTTTGAAACAACATTTAAGAGACACATATTGCTATAGGTTCAATATGCAGAATATAAATCTCTAGTTTTTATCCTGACTTCTGATTAGCTCTTCGGCTTCTCCATAAAGATACTATCAAATAATTATGCTTGTTTAGACGTCAAGTTGCATTACAACAACACATTTGAAAGTAAGAGTATACAAACAATAACAGTGAAGCATTTTACATCAAAAGAAGAATGAATAATTTTCTATATTACAAAACAAAACTTGAGGTTGAAGTGTTAGTTCCTAGACTAATACCTTATTTTAGCACAAAAAAGAAGTCCTCACAGTGTTATATGTATTACAATTGAACTAACTAGTAATGTATATGCCCATGTACTAAAAGAAAGAATGCACAAATCCAACCAAGTTCAAGTTACATTTTTTGAAATCTGATTTTCAAGTAAAGTATTATGGTTATCTGAAAAATTTAAGTGATCATAATTTGATGAAGAAATGAGCTTTACTTTAACCTTTCTATAGCCATGTGCTACATATACATTTGAATTGTTCTGATTTTAAAGTTACTGCATTATATTGAAGCTTCTAATTAGTATTATAATATTTTTTTTTAATCAAAGCTCTAAAGTTTCTAATTCACTTGAAATGAAGAAATACTATTAAATACTGTTAAATACTTGTAAAGGTGTTAAGTTTCATATTACAAAACGTTTTGT